AGTCAGCTGAGGTGCTGCGCACCAAGGTGTTCTGGATCCCTGGAGCGAACATGCCAGCTGACTGCCTCACCAAACGCCTGGGAAACTCCAGTCTCATGCGATGGCTGATGGCAAATGCCAGATACGCCCTCACGCAAGACAGCTTGAGTATGCTTTGGGAGACCCCCCTTGATGGATGTGAAACCAAGCAGCATGTGCCCCAAAGCATGTTTCCTGATGTGTCTTGTTAGGCTTTTCCATCAGGGTCGGCATGCCAGTTCCGAAGACTTAACCTGTCGTCTACCGAAGGCGCCTTGAGCTCGAGGAAAACAGGTTTCGGCAGCTAGAGCGCTCGCTGTGCCCAGTTGTGCAACACTGTAGAGGGCAAGGTCACTCAAGTGGCCCGATTGCCTGGAGTTCCAGCCGCCCTTGGCGACACCGCCCTCTTCAACAAAGGAGCCCCCGGCTCTCTGGAAATTGGTCGGCTCCGGTGTCTCTGAGTTTGGCCACACTGACAACAATGGGAACCCGATGAAGGTACAGGGCTGTGTGTAGCGCGGCCTCTGGAAATGCAGCTGTGTCTATGAAGCAGAAGTAATCGGACCGTTGGGAGCCCAGCTCAAACCAGATGAATCGTGGCATTTCGCTGCTTTTCCAGAACTGGCTCCAGCACTATCCTCAGCAAAGTGGCTGGTCACCGACCCGGCGCTTTCTTGATTCTTATTATGTGTCCGAGGAATTCAACTGCTTCCTCGGCCTCTGGTGTGGGACACCTTGTCCAGCCGAGGCTCACTGGATGAAGGGCCTCGGCCTTGTGAAATCAAGGCCCCTGAGGACCTGAGGACGCCTTTCGCTTGGCGGTCCACACCCACAACTCCACGGTACAGCCCTCTTTTGGTGGAGCCGAGTGTCCTGGTGGGCGTTGACCCAACTATAAGGCGTTTGACAAGCTGGATCACGCAAAAGGAGACGGCCGGCGTTGCGTACCGCAAGGTCCGGCCCTACAGCTGCACTGACGAGCTGACGGCCACTGCGAGCAGTGCCTCTGTCTACAAGAGACGTTGTTGCGCTGCTTTCGTGGCCGGTTCCATGAAGACTTGGCTCCCAAGACCTGGAGAAAACAGATGGGAAACAAAAGGGCCGTGAGTCGAGTTCATGTGAAGTCGCGCCTTGGTTTGCTCGTGCCCTCTCGCACGAAGGGGCAGGCAATGCCGGTGCCTGAGGACCAGCTGTCTGGAGAGGGAGTGACTTTTGTGCGTGCGTCTGGCAATGTGCAGCGAGTGCGTGACAACTTACTTCATCAATGAGGAAGCCCCTGCGCGTTGCCTCCCGGACAGATGGACAAGTGAGACCCATTATCGGATCAAGCCTGAGCAGATCCTGCTTCACAGCAAACGGGCCCGAGCGAGGCCAGTAGACCTGCAGCACCTCCATAAGAACCACCGCCGCCAGGTGCACAAGGACCGTCGTCTCAGGGTCGTGGTCGTGAGCCCGAGCACCATCTAGGTCCAGTAGACCTGCAGCGCCTCATTAAGAACCAGTGCCACCAGGCGCACAAGAACCGTCTCAGCGTCGTCTTGAAGAAAGCTCTGGTGCCGGTGTGAATCCACTTGCCTATGACCGGCGCACCGATACCAAGATTCCCCGTGGAGGAGTTCTGAGCTTGAAGAAGATGATGGTGGCCAACCGAGGGCCAAGCGACCGAAAGCTTCGCCTTTGCCACCACCTCCTGACGTCCTTGTGGGCAATGTCTTTGAGATTGAGAGGCCTCAAGAAAGGCGTTAACCTCGAAGCCTCGGAGGGCACAAGTGTGGATGAGCAAGCTTCAGGAGAAAAGCCGGGAGTGCAACTGGAAGGAGCTTACCCAGAAACAAAAGGGGGAGTTTGATGAGGCCCAGGCGAATGAGATTGACAACGTCATCAAGACGGCGGCGCTGCTGTCTTTGATGTCGAGTGAGCTGAACGACATCTCCAACGACCGGGTCATGAGGATGCGGTGGGTTTTAACCACGAAATATGACGAAATCCTACGGGATGGCCGAAGCGAGACTGGTGATACTGGGCTACGAGTCGCCAAATGTGTTGACAGTGTTGACGACGCAGAGCTCTTGACCGACGCTTTAAGCGGTTGGGCAAGTTCCTTTTACTGTCGGCGGTCGCGAAAAACAAGTGGATGCTGGAGTCCTCCGCCGATGTTACCAGTGCTTTCCTCTAGGCCCTGTCCGACGTGGAGAAGGATGACTTGCGCCAATGCGTCTTTGCCGGCTGAGTTGGGAGCAGCGTTTGGCAGCGACGGAAGACCGTGCTAAAGCTCCTTCGCGCTTTCTACGGCTTGGTGGACAGCCCTCGGCGGTGGCATCAGGCAGTCACCCACGTGCTGGAGAAGTAGGGATGGCAGGCTTCATCCTCGGACCGCTGCTGCCACGTGCTCTTCGATGTAGCATAGCCTGTGTTCACGTCGATGACTTCTTGATTGCCGGCGACCGCCAATCACCGACCTACGTGGTGGCTCGAGAAGCTCGGGAAGAAGCGTCTACGTGGGATGCTGGAAATCGGGCAAATTTGAGTTTGCCGGGTGCGATTTGGAGCAACGCAAGGATGGAAGGCCAGGACACCTACACTGGAAAGTGGATCGAGGATCGAGGAGGCCGAGAGTCCAAAGGCCCGGGCTGCTCAGAAGAACAGCCCTTTGAACCCCGAGGAGGTGAACACTCTTCGAGCTGTGCTGGAAACTTTGGCCTGGCGCTCTGCGCAGACGTGCTGAGGTGGGCTCTTACTGAGCGAGGTGCCGAGAGCCAAAGTGGACACCCGTTTGTGAGCCAACAAGCTTGTACAAGAAGCTCGCCGCAACACCGAGCAGGGCCTGACGTTCCTGTCAAGAGGAACAAGAGGGAGCACGAGCGGATTGCCCAAGAGATATTAGAAAACTTCTTGAGAGCCTTGCAGCATTTTGCTGCTGAACAGCTGCTTCCATGGGGCTCTGAAAGCCCGGAAGCCAAAGGAAGACAATCGACTGCAGCATCTCATCTCACATGTCACGCATGTCCATTGTTCACCAGTGCTGACTGAAGCCCCCTTCCGCAGGGCACGGGAGCTCGAGCGTTTGAGCCTGAAGGCGAAAAGGGATTGTGCGAGGCTGTTGCCTGCAAGGGCTTGACGGCCTTCCGTGCCAAGCTCGCGCGGTTAGCGACAAGTTTGTAGCAGTTTATCTTCCTTTGAATGCGCCTTCAAAAGCTTTCCAGGCCTTTTGTTGGGACCTGCTACCCTCACCTAACCGCTAGTCTCGCCAACAGAAATTCTGAAACAGTCCAGGCAAAGGATTGCGAGCTTACATATGCCACCAGAGCTACAGCAGGCTTTGTATGAGGGTCTCGTTGAGCGCCTGTCTCTCCATTTTAATGCTAAATGTATATGTCTATGCTGGCTATGCATGTAAACTCTCCCTGCGACAGATGCATGTGGAAAATCTGCATAGGCAGAAGCTGACCGCTTGATCGAGCGAGTTGAGAAGCTGCAGCTGGAGGCTGACCCGGCTTGTGGTGTCTTGTTCGGCCATGTTCTTGTGCCTCGAAGCTCAGAAGCGCGATGTCGTTTTGAGTTGTACTCCGGCCAAACCTTGGCACCTTCGATGGGGGAGCCCTGCGTCCGTGGGACGCTCCACCTATCTACTCCAGAATCTAGAAGTACAGATGCATTCTGCTGTTTGACAAGATGAAAACGGCCCTATGATGAACACATCCCGTGCGGCGTTCGACGAGTTTTTTCACTCGCTCTCTTTAGCGTTTGCATGGATGCAGTACTGGTCTGCATTCCGAATCACTTGAGAAGGTCAGACTACAACACAGCTGTGCCAGCGACCACAAGAGAGGCATCTGCATGCAGTCAGGATGTGGAAGACTCCCGCGCGGTTTGCCGATGGGCCAAAGCTTCACGGCTGGCAGACGTCCACGTTTGCACCACTCTGGACTCCTTAAGCCGACACTGTATGACATTTGGGGGGCCCGCCATGGTGCTCTTTCAACTGCTCTGTATTTTCTTGTGTGGCCAAGCCGAAATAAAACTTGAACATGCACCTGTCGAGGCAACCGCGAGAACAGCATCGAGTACGTTTCTTGAAGCTTTACGGAACCCGATGAGCAAACGGCAGTGTTCCAGACATTGGCCAGTTCCAACCGGCGTCCGTATGCTCTCAAGCAGGCAAACCGGTTGGTGTAGAGTGTAGAGGTCGCCATGCAATCGGTCACTTTCAGCGGGGTCGCTTATCTGCTGCAGGCAGACAGCTCACATCCTCGAAAGCAGGTGCATGCAACACTCAGATGTAAAGTGCGCTCCTCCAATCTGTGGCCTCGACGGATGGCCGATTACCCACTGCAAGGCAAGGTAAAGGACATCTCCGACAGGAAACCAGGTATGCACGACCGACCGCAGGACATGCCGAGAACGACGATGAGACCTCGGTTAATGACCAAGACCTCGGTTAGCAGCTGCAGACGAAAGAAGGAAAATGCACCACGGCGAAGAAGCTTGCGAACTCGGAGGAGCGAGTTTGGAAACTGGCCAGGGGTGCCCTGATGCGGGGAGTGCGCTGGAAGTGGCATCTCATTCACCAGACAGCACTGTAGCTCTTTTGGCTTCGTTTTGAGTCCATCCCGCACGGCCCCGCCCGGGACGCCGAATTCACTACAAATCGGATACGTTTGTTTCCACTCCAAAGTTGAAGGGTCGCACTCCCGGCACAGTCCCATGATGTCCCATGTTCATTTTGGTCCGGTGTTCAGATCTTTTTGAAATCGCCTGCCACGCTGCGAGGCTCTAGAACTTCCTCGGTGTCTGCAAATGGAACTTCATATAATAAAGGATTCCAAAATCTGGCCGAGTTCGACTTCGTGTTCATACTGCTCACTGCTAGCTTCTTACATAGGCATCACCTGATCACGAGGTGGCTTTTGGCATGAAATGCAACTCACAAGCTGAAGTTCACATATCATAGAGCGGAAAATTCTGAAGTTTTGTCATTCGCAATGCAGGTGGCAGATTTGCAGATCCTGAAAGTCGAGGATGTTGATAGCCTCGTCCGGAAATTCACTGAAGAGGCCAGAGGTCAGGGACCGCTGTTTGAGCCGCCGTGTTTTTGTGTAACTTGTGTTGTGCAAGGTTGACAAGTCCGTGCAGCTTCAGGCAAGCCGATGTTCTCGACTGGAGGAGACTGTCCAGATCAAACGACACATCAAGTGCGCGGCATACATCTGCATTTGTTGGGTCGCTGGGTGTCATAACCGGGAAAACTATACCTCAACGATCGACACAAAAGTGTGCCTTCGTGTCGGCATGTTCTGCGTCGTCTCAGAGCTGCATGCTTGCTTAGCAGTTCCGCAACGAATGCTCCGTGTTAAAAAGGACGATTTTTTCTCCACTCCAGTTTGCTTGTGTCAGCTTCTGCTGCCCAGGTTCCTTCCATTGAATCCATGTCCTGCGGCCTCTGTGGCTTCGAGTCCTAAGCGGAATGTGATTTCAACTTGCAGCAGCTCGCGGGACTTTTTGATTGGACAGTCCCCATTTTCACGAGACTAGCCCTTGCATGCATATTTCTCGAGCCAGCATTCCAAGGTCCGCATGTCAACGCTGAGGTAGGTCTGACCAGGACTGGCTCCTAAAACCCTAAATGTCTGCTGTCCTGCTAAAATCCAGACCCAGGCCGCGGCGCAGAGGCACATGCCCAAAAAGGTGGAACCAAATACGATGGCCCGAAGCCGCTGTACGCCTCCACCACCCGACGCTGTGGTGGGCGGGCACGTCGTGCGCCCTAACGGCGGCGTTGTGGTCTGACCTTCTCCAGTCCTCACCGCTCCCTCCTGCGGAATGCCAGCTCGTGACTTAAGGAAAGAACACGATGTAAACAACGACAGAAAGCACGAACGAACGAAAGACTAAATTAAAGAATCACAGAAGCAAAGAGTGACATAAATAAGTACATATATATATATATAATAAGGACGAACGCACGACAGAACGACATAAGCAGACAAGAGTGGACGACACAAGCAAGCGCGAAAAGGGGAAATGGATTCACGATGATGAGCAGTTAGATATCCTGGAGCTCTGCAGGGGCAAGCTGGTGTGGCAATCTTCACTGTCTCGCCTTTGTTGAGACACGGACGCACTGTAAAGAGCCAAAGGAGGCACCAAGAAAGAACGCACCTGAAGGTGAGCTGCAGCCTCTCTGCATTCGAGACATGCGCGTAAAGGGCAAACGCATTCACGACTAGGGTCAGTGGAGGCCCCAGGTGCTTTTGGATGTCCTTGGTACGTACTTCAGTCAAGTCGTGTTTGTGCAGGAGGATCTTGCTGTGGTCAAAGCAGCTGAAAGCACGACAGAGGCCTGGCCTGGCATTGTCTTCGGCCACACAGATGACCTTCAACGAAGTTTGTTCAGGCAGATCGGCGGAGATGTGTCCAGCTCGAAAAAATGGTGCCTCAGACTGCAAAGATTGCAGGCTTCACGTTTTCGGTCTGCAAAGATGAGTGATGATCATCGTGATTGCCATTGACTACAACTCAGGTCGATGCGCTTGGGCCTGAGTTCTCGTCACAGGAGTTTTCAGTAGCCGAAACTCACGGAAAGTGGTAGAACCTTGGACAGGTTGGTACAGCAGCGTCGCCAAGATTTGCAGCAATCGCAGGAAAACTTGCGTGAAATTGATGCTAGGCATGGGCCTCGAGTCATGGATCTTGCCATTTTCGCAAGATTGGTCGTGAGGTTTCATGACCTGGATCAGAAGGAGAAGCAGGAGGCTCGAAGTTTTCAGTTCCCTGAAAACCAGCAGCAACAGTGAGACTATCCGTGCGATTGAAATGCAGAAAAGCTGGCCAAAGGAAGCAGAGGCCGTCACGAGCATTCCAGTCCTTGCCAGAGCAACTCTGGGAACATGATCGTGGCTGCTTTATGAGGTCTTCGTACTCAGCAGTGGCACATCGGAGCCCCAGAATACCTGTAAGTCTCTGGGAGGCAATTCGACAGGAAGTTCAGGATTTACGGTCGACACACATTCCGTCGCTGTTTCAACAGACTTCCCGGCGCATTGAGTGGCAGAAGCATTATGCTGATCAGTTTGGCCAGCGCCAGAGCCAGGCACATGAAGGCTATGAAAGCCATGCAAGAAGGGCTGACCGTCGTCCGTAGTGAGGTGAAGAAGATCACTGGTTGCACTAGAGTCTCAGCGCGCACTTGTCGAGTTACTGCTCACAGACAAAGGCTTGGTGAAATCCTGGAAGCCGTCCAGGCAACCCAAAATGGCCCTGGCAGAGAGGACGTCCGACACAGATCCGGCTACATGTCGCTGCGTCTGGTGCGCATGCAGTGACTGCATGTGACTGCAGGAGCAGTCTGAGAAAGCAAGGGAAGTGCTGGCTTTGAAGGTCCAAGTGAGCGACTTGCAGGAGCAGGCAAGTTGCTCCTGGAGCCCTTCTTTGTCCGCACTCTTTGATGGGCGGCTTCGCTGCTGTGGGCTTCGCATGGCTTCGCTTCTTTTGAGGTGACGGAGGTGGTGGTCCGAGGGCTGGAAGAGCGGTTTGCGAGCTTGAGGGCAGATGTGTCCAGGGAGGCTCGAGCTTCGAAGGATCGAGGGATGCTCGGGACGCCGCACGCAGATCTCGACACAGGTCGCTTCAGTTCTTAGAGAGAACAAGGAGGATCGATCAGGCAAGAACGTGAAGCCTCAGTGTGTCGGGCTGGGGCCGTTTGAGTGATGCCCATTCTGCCAGCTGCCTGGCGAAGACTTTCTGCTCTGGAGGCTTGCCAGCTTTCATCAGCCGCACCTCCGCATTGCCAGTGCCTTGAGAGGCTTGGCCAGCATCGCAAGCAGAGCTCAGTGCAGAATTTCATCGTCTTCGGCAACAACACGAGGAGGATTTCTGTGCTGTACTGTGCTGTGCTGCCGAACCTGCTCCCTCCATCGGCACATTCATCTCATCCGGTTTGGGCTCGAAGTTGATAGTATTCAGAATCCAGAAGCCCCTGCTGCGCTGTGCATTGGCACCTTCATCCAACCTCCAACACAATGGCGATGGATGCACGGATGCAGAAAGACATCTCCTGCACCCGATGCTCCCGAGCATGTGGCTTGTCCTCGCACGACGCTCAGGACTACATGCTGGCGCAGGTGCTGACGGAGACTATTAACAAAGAGACAAAGCACCTTCACTACAGGGTGAATCAAAGATCCGCCAACCTTCAACACCTGCAACTTCTGAGGCACTTCAAACGCATTCGCGACGAGCAATTGGCCAAAAAGGCAGCTGCAGAGGAAGCACTGGGTATCGCACCAAACTCAGCCTCTCAGAGTTTCTTGGACGATCTCTGCCACTTATCGACTTATCGAAGACTCGCACAGAGGTCAAGACTTCGGTCGTGCCCAAGAAAGAGCGGTCGCCACTGAGCAGAGATTTTGTGGCAGTCCACAGACAGGGTTCCCATCCAATCTCACTCTGACAGCTATTGTGAGTCAGGTGTCAGCTCAGCCAGCATCTTGTTGGCACACAGAGACTTCCTTCGGTGCTGCGAGGTGTAACGACCGGCATCCGAGGCTTGAGCAGTCGCTGGGACACTTCCCAAACCCGCATCCGCACGACAACAAGCCTCGTGGCACGGCTATGAACGGGAGCATCGGCTCGGAAGCGGCGAAACGCAGGTTACATGGAGCTGGCCGATTTAAATTCGCAGCAATGTTTGAGGTCTAGATGCAGATCCACAGAAGCTGCTGCGATTCGGTGTTACCGGAGAAGGCCGGATCACCACAAGTTTAGCTCATTTCGTACTTGGCCCTGGACAGGTCAGGGACGAGGTTCCTTGCTTACTGGAGCTGTCCGGTCCCATAAGTCGGGGTCGATTCTCGCGCACACGCCCTGCCAAGGTGCATATTTGAGACTAGAAGCAAAAAAAGGTGGTCCGGTGGAAAGGTGCGCAACGTTGCTTTGTGGGAAATCGCTTGGCTTGTATCTGTTTCATTTCTGCCCGTCTTGCTCGACTTATGGGACAGTTCGTCCACCCAGCTCCCGAAAAGCGCCTGTTGTCATCAGACTGAGGGACGGGGCTGTATCAACGCCGAACTTGTGCTCTTAATCACGAGTGCACAGAGCTCTCTGACCTAGGATCTGTAGGCGTCCGACAGATTGAGCCTGTGGCTTTGCAAGGTACGGCCGGGCACTAACGACGGCACAAGAGATTGGTTGGACGGCCGCGCCTGCAACGTGCCTTGGCAGTAGACAGGCGAAGGTTGCTCAGGTTGCTCCATGTAGGCGACTTTGGATGCCAGGAAAACCTATTCATCCTCACCTTTTGCGCACCGTCCTTTGATTGAGTCGCAGTGCCTTGCTCAGTCGGCAAGCTTGCATGAGATCCATGCCACCAGTTTCGCAAGCAGCTGTGGCTTGCAGGTTTTATCGCCCGATGGGAGTCAGCTTTTCGACGGGGGCCCTGTGAAGGTGGCCGTACTGGCATCCTAAGCTTGTTCAAGCTTGCGTAGACTTCATTGACGTGGTGTTTCACTTAGTTTCACGCGAAGCGTGATGCTCTCGTTCTCTGGACAAGAGAAGCTGCAGCCAAGCTGAGCAACGGACTCCTCGCTCCAGACGGTGTATCAATGGAGGTGATGAAAGCAAAGACAAGAACATGGTGACCATGACTCCAAGACTTGAGCCGAAACGGTGAGTGACAAACGGGTTTGCAGGATCGGGGCCTCATGGAGGTTCTGCGCCGTGATGTGGAAGGATTGGGAAGACAGGTCTCAAAACCGCACTGGCACACATGTTCGGAGCCAGTCGCTGAGATATGCAAGGTGGTACAACTTCGGAGAGACTTTGCCATTGCTCAAGACCCTACAGCAGAGGCCCATTGGCCTTACAACGTGAATTCCGCAACCACACAAATGCAGAGGCTGCAGTGATGGAGACGGATGCTGCATCTCGTGCGGGGTTGCTGGAAGGCCAGCTCTTTTGTGCTGTTAGAGCCTTCTGCAGAGAAAGGATGAGAGCGAAAGAGCGGAGTTTGGAGCGAAGTGGATTAGACCTAGCCGCTCTACGAACCGCCACTGATAGAGTCAGCCAGAGAAACAACTTGTGAATTCGAAGGCTTCGAGGGCATGCATGGGCTTGTGGGCTCGCGGATCTTGTCGTCTAGTGAGTCTAGTGCACTTCGCTCGCGGAGTGACATGGGGCGAGCACGTGCTGTATGCAGCTTTGATTGCTCGAAGTCTCAAAGTGTCAGCGTTTGCAAAGTTCTGCCCTCTCTTTCTTTTTGTTAGGGAGGGTTCGAGTTTGGGTTGTTTGAAGTCGTGCGATTGCTTTGCTGTCCTGCGGTCCTGCTACGTATGTACCACGAGATTTTCGTAGTTTTCCGGAGGATAGCTTCATAAAGCTTCGTCCTGTTCTGAACGATTTCTGCGAGTTTCCGTGAGGCCTCTTTGGCACGTCAGTGCCTGCCATACCCACGGAGGAGGTGACTTCAGCTCCCAAGGCCGTGCGAAGTGCCATGAAGCTGACTACGTCGATGGCAAGTTCGCGCTCACCTCGTCGATGGCTCAGCACCGTGATTCCTTTCCCGGATCAACTGCGGCAATTCTAAGGAAGCAGTCGGAAGACCAGAAGCCCAGAACAAAGGCGCAGCCTTGATGGGCAGGTGCAGGGAGAGTCGTCGAAGAACACCGAAGACAGTTTCAGAATTTTTTCAAGTTCTTTCATTAGGTGAGGCCTCGTTCCAGCACTCCCGGGGAGAGGAACGACAGAGGCCTACACTGCGCGCTGACAGCATGCCTGCCTTTTAATGTCTCCGCGGTCTCCATCTGCCAATGTGTGTATGTATGTATGTATGTGTGTGTGTGAACTCCTCTCGTACACGAGGCAAGGGATTCACAATCCGTACCGACAG